TAATTTATACGTGGTAAACTCAGAGAAACTCAATACCGACTTAAAACACCTTATCAAAAACAATAGAATCATTATATTGTTTATATCGTATATTGTTTAGTGACAGAAACTCTGACGCAATAGTTATATAAAAAAATATTGTTTAAAAAACTAAATTTAAAAAAAATTATTAAAAAATGTATAAAACAGCAATAAAATTCTTTATTATAAAGTGGATTATGGTTTGTGATAGAATGTGTTGTTAAGAGAGTACAGTATATAAAGTCTATAAAATATTTAAAAATGATTGCGATCATGAACTGGACATATAGTCAAACTTCCATAACTCGAAATACCATTTTGGAAAGAATAGGTTTGATTTATGGAGACTTCGAGTTAAAGAATTATATGCAACTTATTCACTAAACCGTGTTCACTCTATTTAATTTGAGTTATAGAAAATTCAAGTAATAGAAGTTCGAGTTATGAAAGTTTAACTGTATTAAGATAACACAATACTCTAACTTGGAGGTGGTGTCTTATTAAAAAACTAGAAATATCTACTAATCGATCGATAATTTATTGCGAGTTCCACAGTGGATTTCAAGCTTAACTTATCGTTTAGCTAAGTTCTAGTTTTTGAAGATGAAGGTCCATCTTCTCCAATATTGAAACACTGTATAACGAATTTAATCGCAAAGGTGTATCGTCCAGTTTCTGCTATTTGTTTATTATAACATAATTTAAAACACACATATAACTTTACTAAAGTAGTATGCTAACTTTTATTGAAGACACCCAATGGTATTTGATAGAATAAAATTTCCGCGAAAAATGTTCGCAAGATTTTATGGTATAAGCATAGGAAAATCGATTTAAATAATTATGTACAAATTCGTGAGATAAATATGCAAAAATTATGTGATTCGAGAAAACAACTACGTTGAAGAGTTTGAAAATTGGCGTAATCGTTATTGAGATATACAGGCCCCTTAAAAAGTTCACTTAATTATATTTGCGTAGATTATTGGAACACATGACATGAAATCATATAAAATTGTTTCATTTGCAATTTAAATTTCAGATTTTCTAATAATTTTACGAAAATATGCTCTCAACCGTGTAAAATTGTGCTGTTTAATAGCTGAGCTCGAAATAAATACTAGCATATCAATTCAATATAAGCACGAAGTTAAGAATATTTAACTCAATGTTAAAGCAATTCTCTACTATAGCTGTAAAAATTAGAAACACTCTAAACAAATAAAAAATATAACTTAAATATTTATAAATAAATGCTTGCACAAAATCTTACATATGCGGTGACCAAATCGCATTTCTAATGCAGACCTATTACTTAGAACAGATCAGACACTTTACCACACAACCAACTAAATTTATTTCTTGCTAAGTTTTAACTTGGAAATAGCAAGGCAGCACACGAGTTATAACCTGAAGACTAACGTTTAAGGAAGATGTGTCAGAGGTCCTCTACACACTGCATGCTATATGCTGGAAGCACTCAATAGAGTGACGTTTAAAAGAGTTGTTGCGAATATATTCAATAATCAATTTAAATAAAATTTACGATTAAATATAAAATATATAGAAAATGCTTTTAACAAAAAGTGCAAAATACCACGAATCTCATTTATATAACGATATGGACGCAATGCATTTTTTACAACCGTTTTTAATATTTATTTGCTGCTTTTAAGCAAAAAAGAAATTCCTGCCGTTTATTTTCGAAAGCCTTTTTATTTATTTACATCGGTTATCAGTAATTTGTTTATGTATGAAAAATGATTTTTTTTTTGTTTTGTTAAAAATGTATTCATATTTTTATCAAATTTTCCTGCGGATGTAAGATTGTTTTGCTGAAAGTCGTTAAAAATTTATGTGCGGTTATATGAATTTCTGGAAAATGTATTTTCTTGAATGTTCATTTGTTGTTGTGCTTTTAAGAAAAACGTTTTTGATCATTAATAATAATTATTTGGCATATGTAGTATTATGTGTAGGTTTCTAAGAACCCACATAGTACATATTGTATCTTTCAGTTGCGATAACGTAAAGTATCTCAACCATTTTTACATAAAAACGCACAAAGTCGAAAGCATAATTAATTTTTTTTTCTTGCAAACTCATCTGACATGAAACTTTTTGATTCAAGATTTGCATAAATTTTTGAAATTTTAATAGGACATTAACAGAAGGAGCAGAGGCAACTAATGGCTTATCAGAGTTAAAAAGTCAAAGTTTGGAAACTTGTACTTCAATTTAATGCAATGAAGTGAAAATGGATTAATTGTGTAAAAATTTATGTAAATTATAAAGTAATAAAAAAGAGTTAAAGCTTTTGGTTTTAATTAATTTTTTTTTTTTTTTTGATATGATAATAATTATTTATGAGCTGAACAGTAGCAGCCAAATTAATTTTTTACATTTTATCCTTAGGGTATTTAAGAAAATTTTTATTAAGACAAAGGATCTTAATTGTAAATTATATTTTAATTAATGTATATAAAAAAATTGAAATTATTTTTTAAGTTACTATCGTTCAGAGTTACAAACGTTCAGAGTAGGAGAGGGACATACGAAACAACAACACTGTAGACTGCTTTAACCCAACTTCTTTGAAATCGCTTAACTGATAAGCAGCTTACAAAGCCTGGTTGCCAGGACTATAAACTTGGCTGTGGTGAACGATTCTTGAAAATTCAAACAATATTGGCAATTAGTTGTCAAAGAAACCTTGGTTTATTATTTGGTGTATTATGTTCTCGTAACTTTTTGGCTAAAGTTAATTTTGAATCAAGAATCCTGATTTGTCGGGTATCAAAGTATGTCATTTGATGGCATTTCAAGTGTTGACAACCAAAGTAGTGTAGTACTTGTCTTGTCTTTTTCAAAAATTCTTACAAAAGATTAGACTTTATGTAAGCTGTATTTCAGCAAAGGATATTGTGAACTGGCAACATATCTGGTGCATATAGAGGTGGAAACTGAAATACATGTGAAACTAAAGGAGGACTTAAATAATGTTGCGGCAATGCACTCTTTATATGGAACTGTGTAGTATGTTAAATATAAATAGCAATATGTTTTTGCACAAAAATTGTTCACAAATCAAAGTCTAAATAAGAATTCAACAACTGAGAGATACGATATGAAAGCAGTTGGCTTTTATTTGTAGTCTGTACTGGTTCATCAAAGACGATTTATAGTATCGTTTAGTGTGTAATAGATATAAGGACTTAAGCTATTCGAAAGAAACGTTTTTGAAGTATTTATCATTTTTTTTCACTGAAGATTTTTTCTATTACTGTTCTCTTTGACATCCCCTATCCCAATAAGTATTCAAAATACACTGCTTTCAATCATACTATTATTTTTCTATCTAAAACTAAAATCACCACACTAAATCAATTGAAAACGAATACTGCAATATTTTCTTCATTTTGTACAATAATATATTTGTGGTCTTTATGAATCAGTTATGGTAATTATGTTGATCGAACTATATAATTATAAAGTACATATACAAAAAATTATAAACTGTAAAATTGAACCGAAACATTTACTTAATTTGCACTTAAATTCTTGTTTATATGTTTATTTAATTTTAAAGCAGGATAGAAGGTGAGAAACAATTCTAATGTAGTAGCAGATTTTTATTCACAAATTAATTTGTTTGTAAAATTCGTATAGTACTCTTCCTGATAAAGTAATTTAAATGAACAAAACGACACAAAATTATCATTATCGCAATCATACTTGATACCGGGTCATTGTCTCCTTCAACTTCAAGAAAGTTGTCCATTTTCTTCCTTCCAAAATAAGCAGAGATTACCTCGCTGTAGTCTACTATAATAAATTCCGCAAAGAGCTCTACAAGCTGGTACTTTATTGTTCATGCGAAACATATTCTCCGGATTCTATATATCATTACTAGGGCGGTTTGATAAGTCAGTGACTTTTTGAATTTCTCACGTAGTTACTCCAAATGCAATAGTGCTGCTGTCAGCTGTAATCTACCAGTGGGCAACTTTTTAATTTTGAGCAAGCTACGTCGTTAAGTTGGTGTTTGATAGCTGTTCAAAGTTTTCTCTTGAAAGCGACTGAGAAATCAGAGTACTTTTTGCATGGCCCAATTTTCGGATTCACTAGCGATCCTTAAGCATATCACTTTTGTACAACAGTAGCTTTAGATTATAGTAAAATTCGTGAACTTAAACAGTTTGATACATTATGGTAGATTTTGTTGCGTAATGAAACCAGTTCATGGTACATGAATTTTGTAGTTAGATAATGAGTCATTATTATCGATCATCTAGCGTAGGTACCTTAATTTTTTTTTTTTTCTTTAGGAGGTGAAATGTTTTATGCACTTTCAAATCGACCGTCTTCGGAATGGTGTAACGAACTCCCAAACATTAATATGTAGTATATGGATTAAAACACCCCCTCTTCGGCGAGACTTCGGCTTTGTGTGACTTTAGACTGTTTCCTGTCCTGAAATTAATCATGAAAAGAAATTGTTTCGGCTATATCTCGATCAACCAAAAGGTCTTGATCAAGATATGAGTACATATGGCAATTCCGGCCGATGAGACAAAAATAAATTGTAAAAACTTTATTGAAAATTTTTCAGTACTGTGTTACCTCGAAGGAAAACTATTTTAAATAAAAAAATAATAAAGATCCGATGAATTTAGGACTGATACTGTAAAAACTCCTAAAATTTTTTATTTTATTTTATTATTTTTGCAACTATGTTGCAAAGCAATATTTTTTTTTTTTTGATATATTTTATTAAGATTAAATATTATTACATAAATTTGTATTCTTATTCTAAAAAAAACTAATTTGTTATAATGGGCATTAAAGTTCCAGCAATAACAAAGCTAATTTCTTTACTAATAATTATCAAAAATAACATATAAAAAGTTGTTTGGTGCTAACGAACATATCACATCTCAAGTAAAACTTTTTACTTTTTTTTTATATTTTTTTTTTAGAGACAAAATGGAAAATAATAATCAACAACTATCTGAGGTTGGTGCTTCATCAATTGGGGCAAGAGAAGAAAGACCATCAACAAGCAATAGATCAGAAAATCCACAGGCTGAAAATGTTATCCCAGCGCCTTCTGAGTTGGGCAATATCAATGTCACCGTAAGAAGTACTTACAGATCGGGGGATAGCCACCTGTCAGCTTTTCCGATTATTCGTTATCGTATACACATATACTTTTGATTGTTACAGATTCCGGAAACACCAACAGTATGAATATTAATATAAAAGATGTGTGATCAAGTATAATAATATCACTTCATTTTATATTTTGTTAATAGAGAACTCAAAAACCGGATGAATTTAAAGAAGAAATATAATTTTGCAGTAATTGTTTTGATGTAGATTCCTCTTTTAATAAAAACAATACATGCATTCGTTTCTATTATTTTTTATATGTTTTTTATACAGACGTATATGATATTTGCTTTTAAAAGCACATAATGTAAAATATAATATAAATGAAAAAAATTGTGTAGGATTTATGGGTTATTTTTTTTTGTGGGATCATTACCTGCTTATTTTATTTGGTTTTGAAAGAAGACAGTATGTATTATGCCTTTTTCGATTGGTAAATCTTGGGTAACATTTTCCAACGAGAATCACTCTTAGTAAAATTTTTATTTTCGCTTCGTATATTTCTAGCCAAATATGTAGCACTCGAGATTAATTTACAACACTCTAGATTACCCTTAACTTAACATTTGTTTTAGATGACTTGACAAATAAAGTGTGATCTGATTCAACATATGTATTTATGAAAATATATACATAATTTTTCTGTGTTTAACCAGTTTTTGTTTTAATTAAGAATTATTTCTATTTTAACATTAGTTTTCTTAAATTTATATACAAAATTTTATATTTGGCTATTCATGGGTTTGTTGTAAAAAAAGAATACTAGCATTAAATTAATATTAAGAATTTAAGTAACTTCATACATGTTTTCCATTTAATTATATTAATATTATTATTCATAATATGGTTTTTATATCAAACCAAATTTCAAAATAATTTATTAACGCTTTATTTAATAAAGTTTAAAAATGTCATATAATAAATAATTAAAATTAAATAAAATTAAGATTAAAATTAGTTTTAAAGTACTTTTAAGTCTTACTATCGAATAAATTAGTATAGATCTAAACCAAAGATAATATTAAATTTATTTTTATTAAAAAACAATAAGAAAAAAAAAAAAATAAATAATGAATTCAAAATTTTATAGTTTAAAAATAAAAAATATTTTTTGTTGAAATTTAAAACTATTTTTATGAATTATTTGTAGTTGTTTAACCTAACTTAATATTATTTAGTAAAATTGTAAAAAAAAAATTATTTTATAATTGCTTCAACTCACTATTATAATAGTTCCCATTGTTCGGTCGGTGTACCAATAAATTTTATAATTATAATTACGTAGATTTAATTTCTTAAAAGTTAAGATAAACTCATTATAAATACAAAAGCACAATAGTGTAAATCAAAAGCGTGTTGCTTTGACGTTAATGATAATTGTATCCATAGTAATTTGCTTTAGTGGGTTTAGGAAGTCTTATTAAAATTACTCAATGGATTCAGCAGTATTCATAAGCCTTGTTCAATTCATGGAACTATTTATTGTAATCTTTGGAATTCCGACTGATTGAAAGTAATAATGCGTTTTAGCATTTTATACGATTTAATATAATTTTAATGTAAATAAAATATATTTTTTATCGAATTTATGTATGAATAATTAAATATTAATCTGTAATTCAAATGCAAACTCCATTTTTAAAATATTTAAAATAAATTTATAAATTTAGAATATTGATAAAAAAAATATATATATACATAAATTGTATGCTTTGTATAAGGCAACCTCAATGTGAAGGCTACTTTATTATTTCAAAAAAAAACTTTTATTACTTTAATATATGATATAGCATATTATCTCTTTACTGTTTGATTACAAACAATAAAAATTAAATAAAAAAAGTAAAATAAACTATGGGTTCTTTTATATTTCAAGGGTATATTAAAACAAAGGCGTGTGTTTTATTTATATTTGTGATAAGGAAAGAAATAATCAAATTTTAACAATTTTTGTTAAAAGGATACTCATTATTTGTGTGTTAATGAAGAACACCATGCGCTAAATTAAAGGATAAATATAAAAATATATTTCAATTATAAATACTTTGTCGCACTAGAAACGTCGTTAAAGCAGAGGTCGAATATGTAAATGATCGTTTATATACTTAAATTGGAATCAATCATACTACGGGGTCTCTGATCTTGTAATATTTGATAATGATTCTGTTGTTGATATTATTATTTTTAAACTATTTTTAGAACAACATAAATCAATTTTAATAATTTATTATTGATCAGTTATTGTTATTAAATTTTGTATAAATAAGAAAGATTAATAGAATAAAATTTAGATTTAAATTTTTACTCACTAATACTCAGTACATCCCAACCCACCGAATCTTTTTTTATGCTATCCAACAACTCCTCATCATATTTTCTGTACTTTTGTGTAACTTATGATATATTTCGTTAAAAATAGCTGTTATTTTATATTAAAAATGATTTTGACTTGATATAATATGATTTAATATATGAATACATAAAATAATTTAAAGAAGAAATAATATAAAGAGATTTTTGGAGCCCAAGGTCGCAACTCTACCCTAATTTGATTTACTATGATTTTTTTATTCATTATTTTATTATTTATTTTTTATATTATTATTATATTATTTTATATTATTATATATTATTATTATCTATTTTTTATATTTGTATTTATTTATTTATAATATTATTTATTTTTATTTATTTATTATATTATTACTTATTTTTATATATTTATAATATTATTTATTTTTATTCATTTGTTATATTATTATTTTTTTATTATTTGTTGTATTATTATTATTTTTATTTATTTATTTTTTATTTTTATTTTTAATTATTTATTTTATTATTATTTTTATTTATTTGCTGTATTATTATTTATTCTTGATTATTTATTATATAATTATTTATTTTTATTTTTTTTTTATACTATCATATAATTGTTATATTATTATTTATTCTTATTTAATATATTATTATTTTTATTAATTTATTATATTTTATTTATTTATTAAATTTTATTTATTTATTAAATTTTATTTATTTATTGTATTTTATTTATTTTTTTATTTTAGTATATATATTTATTTATTATATATTTTTATTTATTTATTATATTATTACTTTAAAATGTTTATTCATAACATTTGATTCCAATAGCACTAGTATACTCTTACAAGAACATTTGAATATAGCAAATGACATGTGTAAGCTTCTTAAAATGAATCGAGCAACACAGAAAGCTCGTCTCAAGATTTCTCTTTATTTTCGATTTGATTTATATAAATACCTTCTGCTCAAAAAGTATCCGGACTACTCCTCACACAAATATAATATGTTGTTCGAATATTTTCGAGCGTCTCGTTATGATCAAATACTATAATATTCAATTATTTCGTATTATATTTAAAGTTTTGGTAGAAATATTGTTTATGTTAAAATATGTTGATATAATGGCTAAGCAAAGATATATGTCTGATATAATTAAGAAATCTTATTTAATTAAGTTGGTAATAGCTAACATCTTTATCTCTTCTGGTTGTGCTTCCTTTGATCTTGATCAACACTGGGAAAACTTGGTAACCTACATCATTTTTATTATAATATTCCATTTTTTCTTTAAAGTATGACAGAGCAGATATCTCTATTGTCCTATCGCTTGAAATCTTTTAAGAGCAGCTAAAAATATGTTAGGGCTAACCTCTATTTTACTGAATAGCTTAGACGCTCTAACCTGTGTTTACTTGGGGATGGTTTTTAAATAAAGATGTAATTGATATAATATATTTCCCAAAAAATCAAGTTTCTCATATTTGAAAAATTTAAAATAGACTTAAATATTGATTTTCGTAAACTTTTTAAAATACATAAAGATTTCAAATACACTAAAAGATTTTTAATCAAAACTTAAGTGACCGAGAGCAGAGAAAATTCGACTGAAGTAAACAAGGACGAGGAATAAGAAAAATGAAATGGTTGGAAAGCACAAAACAAAAACAGTGTCAGAGGACAACGTAAGATATAACAATTTGTGAACTTTATGATTAAATGCACTTAAGCGGCCAATATGGCGAAGGACAATGAAACGCTCCAGATAAAGCAGCAGCTGAATTCCACTAAAATAACTCAACAAAATTTATTTTAAGTACGAAAAGCAGCAAACGTAAAAAATAAAAGCTGCAAATGTGGAAAATTTATACTTGCGTTACATTTTGCCAAATTGCAAATGAGGGTCAAACTAAAGTTACTCGATGGAGATAAACAAATAAGTTTGGGTTAAGTTAAATGACAAAAACGTTTTTATAAAAGAAAAAATTGTGGAAAAAACAACATCCAGACTTCGAAGACAAACTCCATCGTTCATGCTCAAATATATCGGCTGCCTCAATGTGTAAGTACTGAAAATGTGTACTGGGACTGAAAATGTCAAAGTGAAACTAAAAAATGACAAAAATAACACAACAAGCAGTGAATAATTTAGTTCAGCTGAGTCCGGTATTCAAGTCCGAACTCCGGATGCACCATGAATTTTGTATGAGATTTTTTTGCGTAATCTGAACTTAACTCTACATTTACGTTACGGTGTCTGTCTAAAACGTCAGCTAACTATGATGCATTAAAAGATGCTAGTCGTTGTGAAAAAACATAAAAAATAAATCAAAATTTTTAATTTTTATACAAGAGAGTACGTAAGTTCAGGGAAGAGTTATGGCTTTTTAACATTGATTTTGTTTTAAATTCCATACACTTGAGACCATGTTAAATCATTTATGTAAACATTTTTTTATTATAAAATGTATAACATTAAAATGTTTCTCAAGTGAATGTAACTTAATCAGAAATAGTTTGGATAAAATACTTTTTCTTGAATAATTTTACAACATTTATATAAATGTCAGGTAACTTTAATGCTTTGTTAAATTCAACAATCCAACAAAGCTATCAAGAATATAAAATCAAGCAGTTAAGTTAATTTATATAGCTTTAGTTTATGGGTTAGTTTTAAAATTACTATAACAACAATAATTGACAAAATTCTAAGTTTGAATAACGCAAATGTATGTTGGTTTTTCGTCTTAACCCACAAGATCACGGTTCAAATTTGAAAAGATATAATTACTTTCAAAGACCACTGATGAAGAATATGGAATATGGAAGTGGGTTTTAGAATGCGCTTGATAAAAAATTAATATAATTAATATTTTTGAATAGTAATGGTCCAACAATAATTCATTGAATTTGACTAAGAATTGACTAATTCTACAGCTGTTTCGAGTTTTGCTAACGACCCAGTATCAGTACATAGAAGCACTCTATAATAATTACAATATAATAATTGTATACTATATTAAAACAACTGCTGGAATTATTCTATTTAAAAATTATATTCTTCGTCATATTTGGCAGTAGTGAACTACAACAGCAAAAATTTACACAGCTGTTTCGAGTACTGCCAAATCCTCATCATCCGTGGTCTTGGAAATAATTCTTGTATTTTGAATTAGGTTAAGTGTATAGATTAAAAATTTTTTAGATAATTTATAAAAGTAAAGCAATCAGATATTCAAAATGCTGAATATCTTTTTTACTGACAAACCCTTTTTTCTCATATCTAAGATAATATAAAATCTCAATTTTCAAAAACTTATTTGCGACAGATAGTGTACTAACTCTCTTCTTCAGGTCAGTATTGTTTTTGCATGTTAATTGTTGCTTTTTGTTCTCTATCAGTTTTCAAGTGAACCAGCTCTCAATTCAATTTAATTGTTTACATAAAATGTAACATACAATTACAATTAAGAAATATAACGGGAAATAAAAAAGCCAATTGGATTTGAATATTGTTGTAGAAAATTTGTATATGAGCACCAGTCAAAAGCACTTAAAAAAATATGGCATTAAATTTCTCTAAAAAACATTTATAAAATCATGATATTCGTTTACGAAATTCTAGTAAAAATCACTGAAATACAAAAATAAGAAACATGCCAGTTATAAAATAAGTGCCAGATAACAGCATTAAAATAAATTATCCCATACAAAAAATTTCTTTTAATAACCTCTGCGGAAAACTTTGAATTAAATTAATGGCGTTTTCGATTGTTAAATATGGGTTGCACTTAATCGAGTTGTGCTTTTAATGCACTTTCAGTGCAATTTTATTTTCGGTTGGTAAATCTGAGACAAAATGTACAACATTCGTGATTAACTTATAACACTCCAGACATTTTGCCAGTGTAGCATCACCACAATAAAATTAACAGTTATTTTAAATTACTTGATAAATAAATTATGATTTGATTCGATACAGGTATTTGTGAAAAACAAAAATTTCTACTAACACAACTAACAACTGGGCAACGAAATTTGATACATCGAGAGTAAGTCTAGATTGAATCTAGATTTACCAATCGAAAAAGCCATAACGAAATTTATTTAAAGTAAGAAAAGAAGTTACAAATGTGGAAAATGTATACTTGACGTAGCGCTAGTAAAAACTATTAAAATTCGATAATAAATTTGAACCAGCTAACAGCACTAAATAAATAAAATATTTTTAAAAAAGTTTTTTTTAAAAAATTTAATAGGTAGTTTTAGTGTAATGAGTCTAGACTGAACTTCTTACAGGACACTGTAACTTCGCATGAAAATTATAGGTGGGGTAGAAAATTATTCCTGTCGACTCTGTCATAAGGAGAAGGAAACATCAGAGCATCTTCTATGCAACTGCCCAGCGGCGTCAAGATATAGACACGACCACCTTGAAAGCGGGATCTTAGTCTCAAATCAAATATGTAAAATTAAGCCCACAGCAATTACGAGACTTATAAATAATCTAGAATTGTTTTAGTTGGGCTTTTAGGCGCACAATAGTTCTTTTAGGTTGGGGTGCATTCATAGCCTTTTATTTAATAGTAAAAATAGTGTAATGAAAAGTTCATTTATTAAAAGTTGACTTCTTTCTACATTACATTTAATAATTTTTTTAGGATTTAATTGATAATATGTAGATTTTGCATTATATAGTAAAGTTGTTTTTTTTTTAAAACTAACAGTAGTTAATTACCATGATTACTAACTAAATACAGTACAGATGGCAGCATTTATTCCGCAGAAAATTAACTTTATGTCATCACAAATTATTACTAAATTATCAAAATATATATATAAAATATTAAAAAGTAATAAGCTATATAATAATAATTTGTTATTTATAAAATTAATATATAAAAGACGTTTCATTTGGCAATCTGAAGGTATGTTTGTTTTAACATAAATATTAGTTACCCTTGATTTTATTTGATGAATAAATTAAATAATTAATTCCATATATTATGTCAGAATATTCTAAATCAAGCCGGATTTACGGTAGTAAATACTGCTCAATCAGTTCAAATTAACTTCAGCTAATTGGGTGTCTAAAAATTACTTTGTCAAGTGGAAATTGTGACGCGAGCCTAATTATGAAATTTACATAAAATTCAATTAAATTTTGCAATGCTTATTTGTATAAAAAAATAGCTTAAAACCATTATGTGAAAACAGTTTAATTTTATTTAAATTTAATTGAATTAACTTAAATGTAATTGAAAACAATAAACAAGCAGAGACACGCAAATGCTATAGAAGGACAACAGGACATGGAATGGAAAACATGAATTTTATATAAATTATTTTGTGTTTTAGCACACACAACTGCAATCATATACGTATGCTGTAATCATATAATATGGCACGCACCTGATAATCCATAAAATTGTCAAAATGCATATAGGAGCAATTATTGAACCTATCCGCATGCAATCCATTATCCTCTAGCTGCATTTCCTCCGGCGGTAAATTATCTCCTTTGAACGAGACACGTTTGGGAGTTTGTGTAACATTATCTGTGTTATGGCCACTGTTGCCAGCAGTAGTTGCAGTCGAACGCCGATTGCGTCCTAGAGTGCCGGACAGACCAGCACTAACCCCCGCCAACGTGCCAACAAATCGACCCGACTGCATAGCACCACCCGCAGCGGCAGCAAACGATCCCATCATATGCGACAACGAACCACAACCGACAACTTGCGGCTCGTGCTGATGTTGCTGGTGCTGTTGATGCTGTTTCTGTTGACTTTGTGGGTGGCTTGGATGTTGCTCTGTACTTACTGTTGCAGGTTGCAGTATCATGCCACAACCGCTGAAACGAAAAGGTGGTATGCATGTTGTGGCTGAAATGCTAGTGCCGCATTCGCTGCCCTCAAAGTCGCTTTCGTCGGCATGAGCAACAGACAACGCTGTTGGCATAAATGTGCTTGGTTGAAAGCCACGCGGCAATGTGGCGCTTTCCAAAGTATTACGAGTTAAGGGTGCAACAGTAGGACGTGGTTTTGTGAGTGTGCCAGTGTATAATATGTTGACAGTGGCTGGCACAACGCCACTGCTGACGTTGGCGGCTTGTTGTGGAATCTGTTGTGGATGCTGTTTCTGTAACTCATTCGGCAATAGAATGGGTTGTGCTTGGAGTATTTGGTGGGTTGGTTGAGATATATTTACTGTTCCATCGTTATCAACAATGCCGCAGTTGACGTTCTGTAAGTTTGCGACGTTGACTGCTGTATTGTTGACGACCGCAGTGGCGGCAGCAGTTGGCGGCGCGGTTGTTAGTATGTGAGTGGGCTGCAATTGATAAAAATGCTCACAATTGCCACCATCTATACTGCTGGGCGTAGTTGCTGTTAAAATGGTGCCTGGTGGCATCATCGATGTTGGTATCACCATAATGGGCAGCATCGTTGCTGTCGCTGCACCAGTATTCCCAACGGCGGCAATATTGTTGGTGGGATTTGAACCGAGTGTATGCAAGTCTGTGCCGGCATGCAACATCTCCATTTGACAAATTTCATCATAACTAAGCGGACGTAAATCCATTGTTATGTTCTTTTGTGTTTTGTATGTGAGTGAAGTAATTTATAAAAATAATTTTTTTTTCCAAAAAAATTTAATTTAAAATAGTTTTTTCTTTAAGTTTTCACAAATACAATCCGTTTCCAGTTAATATGTAATAAATACAGTTTTAAAGTTTTTAATTTTATAGATTCACACTTGGTTTGTTTTGTTTCTTTATTTACTTTTTGCAGTTAATGTCTTTACCGTCGGCATTTTTAATTCGACACAAAATGTATTCTCTGCGTCTTTTGCAACTTTATCTCACGACAGTCGAACCGTAACTGCTGACAAGCATCCTTGCTCTTTTCAACGAGACAGATTCTCTAGAGAATCTCTAGTCATATATAAAGTCGTGCTACCAAGTCGCACAGCATCCACAGGCAAGTACTCCGTGTGCAGAATTGCGTCTGCGCATTTCCCAATTCGACGGCTTTTGTTATTCAAAAACACTTTAAGTTTGTTTTGATTGTCGTCTGCACTAAAATTTTATTGCCTTTAATTTTTGCATGGCAATTAAATGATAATTTTCCAACTTAAAGCCTTTAAGATAGTTACAACCACATCAGTGACGGCCGCCGCAAATGTAGTGCAAAGTATTGAGTCTGAGTATTTTTAAACGCGGTGTGGTTCCAGCAGTTCTGGGGTCAACCAACTGTTGGCTTTGTTTTAATCAGCGGTTGCTATCCTGCCACACTAAGTTGCAGCCATTCTGTTGTCATATCACTTTGCTTTATGTCTGCCAGTGGTTAACGTTCCCTTCACACTTGAATTTACTCGTACCCGATTACGGGTAATTCTTATCAATTCTCTTGTTGGTGCTTAAACTGCCACATGCTCGACTGTTACGTGGTTTCTATGCCATAAATTGCGTTGCTCTGACAACTCCACACTTGTTTAATATTATTAAGCTCATAATAGGATAAACAATATTTATAAGGATATTACTACTTCCATTTATGAGCGAAAGAATGCAATTGTAACATTTATTATTTAAGGAGCTTAAAGTAATTTATAAATTTCATTGTCTGTGTGCTATCATATCCTGCTGCGAAACAAATGTTAAACAGCATATCCTTTGCGAATATATAATTTAATAAAAAAAAACGAATTCACAGAATTCAAGCAATAAATAATTCGAGATCATCAATGGAGGAAAGCAAAACATTCCTTTTTTGGTTCGCTTTGAATGTGCACAAATCCATCATTCGAAAATATTCATCTTCTTTTATTTATATTTTTATCATCTTTTTTTTGCAGGATTTAAGGAATTTTACATATATATCTGTAGCGTAAAATTGAAATTTGTTTAAATTATTTTATGTCAATAAGGAATTTCCTTTAATTCTTAGTTCTTCATACAAAGTATTTTCTTCCACAGATCTAATACTACACATAGCTGTCATAAAAAAAAAAATAAAATTAAATGATTGATTTGTTTAATAAGCAGAGAGGAGAAAGAAATACGTATTGATGTAGCAGAAGTTTTCAGAGAATTCGATACCATTGAGTATTAAAGGAAGACAATTTCAAACATTAGTTTAGTGAAAGTATTTATTTTTTTGGCGGCATTACAAGGAGTAGCGGGTCATTCGGCATTCAAATTATTTTACGACAACTATTTTAATTGAACCTTATACAAAAGTTGACGACTCTGTAAATAGATTATTTATAGTTTTTCTAATAATGATGTGAAAATTCTTTCGTATATTTATATGGACTGCATAGAATTATATTAAAGTGACAAAAACGGAATGATAAACCCGTCATCCTGCATCCTTAAGATCACCCTGATTAATTCAACTTATACGCCGCGATATCTGGTAAATAAGTAGTGGCTATTTATAGAGAGGCGCCTTGAAATAATTTACAAATAAATTTTATATTTCATTGTAGAATGTTTATATAAAATAATTTGTAATGTAATATTATTAGTCTTTAAGATTCTAAAAGTTATTGTTAGGCCTTAATTTAAAGCGATTAAATAAAGACATATTGTTAAAAAAAAAAATGGCGTTTACGCTGCAAGACGTATGAAGTTGGATCCCGAAAGCTGCCCTCACTCATATGACCATTTTGTTGATTTATGTAAAAATGACGGAGAGGAGATATTTGAGATTTATATGAAAAAATCTATAACCAATCAAAGCCTCAAAAGTTGAACTGAATGAACTTTTATAAAGGATATCAAGCTATGAAAGTTGAACTGATTGATATGAACTCTTGTAATAGGAAATCTGTAGAACCACAAAGAGTTGTCCTTTTTGGTTTCTATTCTGCGTAGTAAATTAACCCACAACCAACAGTTTGAGAGTAATGCTTCAATAATGAATATATATAATGCCACAACAAAAAAATCATATTAAAAAATAGAGCACATCAGCTGTTTAAAAAGTGTTGCCAGAATGCAAATAAACACAGAAAAAAAATGAAAAACTGTGAGAAAACGAGAGACTATTTCTCCAGACCTCTTAAGCAATAGCCTTTTGAATCTAACAAACACTTGTATAATAGCAACAGCTTAAGCCAAAATGATCAGTTAATGATCATTAACCAGTGTCATGTGAACAACGTATTAAACTCTTTTATAATACTGAAATCACATGAAAGATTTATTTGTAATTTGATCTGTCAAAAATTTCGAAACAAAGAATAATTTAATAACATATGATAGCTGATATTAATTACAAACAAAACTCTCGTGTGAACTAGTTTTAGATTGAAACAAAATGTGCAATATATATGTATGTAAATTGCATGCATCGAATATTTTTATTCATCTTATGAAGAGATGCACTTTACAATAAAATATCATCATGATATCCTGGATATAACAGTTCTAAAATTTGTTTGATACCAATATTCCGAAAATAATAGCCTGTGGTCTTCCTTTTTCCTGCTACCTAATAAACTGATGTCTATCCGGCATCCGTACAATATGATAAAGTCTTTTGCCATCTCAAATCTTGTTGCAAAAGTTTTTAGTTTACTAATTTCTGCTTCTTTCTTAAAATAATACATCTTGTGATCAAAAAAGAACGAGAATTTTTGAATTCCCGAGCTTATCCAATCGGTAAATTTTTTTTATTTTCACGCTGGCAACACTATTATACACATTCTGTATTCGCATATCGTACGATTAGGTTTTGTTTGGCGTCTATACAAAGAAGTCGAAAAATTTTCGTGTGGCGATTTTTAGCTGAATTTCATTCAAAATCAGCGTCGTTGTGATGTGGCCAAAGAGATGATTTCCAACGCGGATAGTGACCCATTCATCGAACGTATCATAACTGGTGATGAGACATGGGTCTATCAATTTGACATGCCCACCAAACAACAATCGATGACTGTTTTCTTCGATATTCGTGGTGTGGTGCACTATGAATTCTTTTTGGAAGGTCAAATGGTGAAACGGTCAATAAGGAGTATTATTTGGCCATTATGCTTCGTTTGCGTGAGGCCATTCGCAAAAGGAGGCCAGATTTATGGAAGGAAAACTCTTTGATTTTACACCACGATAACGCACCGGTTCACATAGCATTGGTTGTGTCGCAGTTTTTGACCAAAAACTCCATCAATATCATCAACCAAGCGTACTCTTCAGATATGGCCCCGTGTGACTTTTTCCTCTTCCCCCGACTCAAATTGCCATTGCGAGGTCCATAGACACGTTTTGAGACCATAGGAACCATAAAAGTGAATTCGCTGCGTGAACTAAAGGCCATACCTCCAGCGTTCAGTGGATCAAGCGTTGACATGTATGAAGGCGATGGACAAGAAAGGTGGTAACCTCAATAACACGAAGCACAAAAGGTTCAATTTTTGTGTTACTGCTGTGACGTGTTTCGTTGTCAGGGTGTTCGGGTTGTTAAGGAGAAAAAGTCGAACGTGTTTTGCTTGTGTGCTGCATTTTATATTATATAATAATTATAGTTGTCATTTTTTTAATAAACCTATAAATGTTCTTATGCACAAATCTGGATATTTTATTAATTAAAGTAAAACAAGTTCACAATAAGTAAGTTCAAGAAATTTACTTACACAGGCGATAATAAAGAAAATGAATAAAAATTAAAATTTTACGTTTTTTTTTTAAATTCTCGTTATTTTTTTATGTAGGTAACTCAAAAATATATTTTCTGTGTTTGCTTGTTTCAATTGCGTTATTCATCTCTGCCTTGATCGCTTTTAGAGTTAATGGCTGTCATGGACCATAAAATTATTATATGATTCATGCCATTTCATTTTTATCGGCGCTAAAAATTAATTAGTAACTAATTTAGTTAATTTAATTTAGCTAATTAATTACTAATTTGTCCACAATCAAGTGAATTTTCAAGTGGATAGTTCACCGTAGCACAGTATAAACTAGTGTTATTGCGAATAATTTTGAGGAATGAATGAAAATTTCATACAAAATGAAACAAAGCTGTTATTTCATATGTTCATATTAAATGAGTAGAGTAAATATTTTTGAAAATAGTTGAAAAATGCAAAAGTTTATCTTTTGTGAAAATAGCTAAAATGCGTGGACATATAATAAAATGGTGAGTGCACTACAGGTAGAAACTTTCAATTATATAAATTTTGTGTAATGTAAATATTTATATTTACTTAATAAAAAAAAAGATTATTCAATAACAAGTTTACATGGACAGAGACATTGAAGTTTGGAACTTTAATAATATATATATAAAAATATATAATAGAATAATAAAATCGTTATTTTCATTTAAAAAGTTGTGCAAAACACATGCAGGTTTGATAACTTTTAGCGCATTTAATATATTATTCTAAAAGCATTTGCCACAACTTTTTAGTTTAAGGTCTTTGAATTGTACTTTAAGTAATGTGAAATGAGTAAATCTTCATAACATATTCCGAAAAACTAAACGCTGAATCTCCAAGACAAATAGGAGTAGTAAAGTATTGCAAATATCCTTGCTCATATCTTTCAGAACAGGACATGATATTA